CACGTCTGACCTTAAAAGAGAACAGGCACACCGAAGGATATTGAGATAATACGTACAAGTGGCCCATCTCTTTGATACTTGTAGCTAGATTTTTGCTGGCACCACATTCATACGGCTGCCAGAGTTGAGTTGACTGTGTGATTATGTCTGAGTACTCATTGATACCAAAGATACATTTCCATTTAAATATGCAGATGCAACTTAAGATTGACTAAAGTTAGACGGCATGCTCGGATCAATTGATTTTCATTCATAATTTAACTTGTACCGAAGAACTGTAAAGGTACAGAAATAAAATTTGTCTTGGTGGCTGCATCTCTGGAATGAGGACCATTGTTAGATAAACCCTGAATTATCTAGTGGGAGAGAGGTGTGGCAAGTCGCCATATAAAATTTGTACTTTGTCATGCAGGCCACGTGGTACTTCGTGGTGAAGTTTCTTATACTCCCGTTGGCTTAGTAACATCGATCTGAGCTCCTGGCCAGCCGCGTACAACGATGTGCTGGCGTCCTCAATGCTTCTTTATTATCACCTGTCCTATCCACTTCCACCTCGTCTGCTAATCCCTACTGTACATGGCATGCACCAGTAACCAATGTTCGTATGATACTGTCCACGATGAGGGCGAGGATATGAGGATTGTACCAATATATTCCGAAGGATTATGAATTTCCCATCTTGAGAGACAAGAATAATCGGTGGCACTTTCACTTACGGGTACCTTTTTACTCTCAAAGAGCATGTAATCGGCCAGTTTATGGGCACATGGCAAAGCATTTCCTATAAAAGTATACGGTGTACTGGGGTCTTGTTAATACCGAGGGATCGAGAACTTGTCAATAATACTTTAGTTATACTTGTCTCTACCACTACTACCAACTGTCAAAATAGGAATCATTTTCGCATCAGAAAATTTCGCAGAGTTGGCAAGAATGATAATCACTCCTCTGTAATTTGACTTGGTGTTCATCAGGAGAGCTGAATTCTACTTGGATCTCTAGTTTATAAAAGTCCTAACCTCCACAACCGGCATACAGTTCAGTTGAAGTGATGTACAAGAGATCCATGTGGATTCCTCCGCGTGATACTCCGGACAGCCCACTAACGGATCCCTTCTCCTTTCCTGAAGTAGGTTCACTCTCCAAATCTCCGTGAAACTGTCAACGTCCATTTAATTTGCAAGTAGGGGCTCACTGCAACTTACAGATATTTTGTGCAGTGACTGGAATCACTGCATCCCGATGCATAGTTTTTGAGCTGAAAAACTGACCGATGTATGGTTCAATTTCAGCTTGGCTTGTCCTACCTGATAAGCAACAGGATAGATAAAACCGGTGGTGATCCATCTTTCATCGACCTTCTGGGTAGCACTGAAAGATACTCACTTTTCTTTGTGTCGTACCGTTTTCTGTATAAATATCTGGATTACAATATGATCCGAATTGGCGACACCAGGTTCAGACTACCAAGCTACTGCCTCTAACCGTATAATGCAGAGAAAGAATAAGTACTAAATAAATAAGCGTGTACTATTCAGCAAAGCTATATCGCTGGTATTCGTACCAGGCCTATCGTTTGGGATTCCGGAATTATTTATATCAATTAAATGTTTGTTTCCATCGTGTAGATTTAACCATGCCTCTGTAAAGGAAGGATTTATGACATTTTAAGATCATGCTTCGAGATTGGTGAAGAGCATTGCCCGCATCTTTTTGATTAGCTTGCACTCCCTTTCCTATTTTCTAACCACACACAACCGATAACTTAGTTCCACAGACTCATAGTAGAAGTGTGATTAATCGAGTGCGATTGCTAGACAAATAGGAGTAGCATTTGTACACAGACACTAATATTCACAGTCCACTGTCATACCATTTGCCAAGCATCCACATTTGTAGAATTGTTTTTTTTTACGAAGCGGCTCGTTAGAATTCACAAAATGTCACCAACCGGACATGAAAGCCAGCACGCATTTGTTCATACGGGCGAGGTGGGGGGGAGGGCAACAGGGACTATAATGAACAAAGAAGGCGCCCTATTCTATCCGAATTCCTGGCGGCTGCACACCTCGATGACTGTGGACTGACCAAACAACTTCGACGCCCTTTGTGTTTGTGAGTGTGCTGGCTACCAGTAGTGTAGATGACTGAAACCAGCACCACCATAGTCTTGTCCGTATTCAAGGTCTTAATCTCACTGCTGGTGTCCTCATGCACGAACTGTTTACCCTTAATGATGAATAACAAATACGCAAGGGCCAAAAGTGTTACTTGCTCGTTATGCCCAACCGCTGTTTTTATATTCAGTTAAGTTGCTTCAATAGTGCCTAAAACTATCAAACATATTTCCACTCATTTTTGTAATGTTGTATTTGTATTATTGTATTTTAACTGCTATTTTGAATAGTTTTAACATGCACTGACTTTTGGGCTAAAGTTAGTACATCAGAGTTGCTCATTTAAAAGACCGTTTGATTTATCGCTAATCGACCTGCGGGGCTTGTCGCTGTAAGGTTAACTTTGGACCCTTAGTTAAGTGTAGTTTACCTTGTTATGCAGAACGACAGTACACATGTTTCATTTGTGAAGAATATTTTGGTGGATCTAATATTTCATTTCATTTCATTCCAAAAACCAATCCCGGTAGAATTAATTTTGGGAACGTGTATTGAAAGCTTCGTTTTTACAAAACTCAGATGGTTGTTAGCAAGTCCAGAAGTTTGGAGGTGGAATGTCAATAATTTCAATGGAAGATGTTCTTCAGTCTCCTTAGATAAGTGCAGGACATCAGAAAATGATGGCCAGTTGAGGGCAACTGGGCTAGAAAATTTCATTGTAAAAGCTGAAAGCTATTTTTAAAAAGTCCAGAACTTGATTTTGGGTGAATTATAAGATTCTGGGACTTTTGGTCCATTGGCACCTTATTTGACTTCTGGATGGTCAAAAACGTATGATGTTGCAATCAGGGTTAATGCATTAGAACTCCGAAGTGCGCACTTAGAACCATTTCGACTGTTGAATATGCTACAATGTGTTTAGTCTTCAGCTGCTTACATATCCTAAACTTATATAGCCGGCGTAAGTCAAGCAGGTAAACAAAGCAAAATCGCAGAGTACTGGTAATTGTGTAGTGGTTCCCAGACTGAGTGCGTTTGATAACATCAGAAACATTATGGACTAATAATGGAGTCTGAGTTTATTCAAGAATAATTTAGTTAGTCACCAAATCTGCAAGCTTCGCATTGCCCTAACTATTTGCTTCAAGATCAATATATTCCAATTTTTGCTGCCATATCGCCTTCGTGCATATGTTATCATATTTCCGATCGGTGCAGGTAGGAATTCATTCGTCTTCTTTGGTTTGGATCCACCTCAGAGAATCGACCGAAAAGCCGTCAAAAAACAGGATTGCACTGGTCATGTGTCTGTATGGATTAATTTTATCGTCATGATCTCTGAACCGGCAAGTTGGGGCGTTTCGCCTTGAAAAGCGAAAGGGACTGATTGCTACGCGATCCTTGTGGCTGCGATACATGTGCCTGGATTAGACCCTGAACGAATTGCTCAATAAAATTAGCGAAATACACTCGTTTGCATACCAATTTGGTTTTGATGGGAGACTCAACTAGAATCCAGTTGAAAAACACCATAAACGGGAGATTCAGCTGGGTTCCAGGTGAGTCTCCTGTTAGAATCAAATTGGTATGCAAATGAGTGTATTTCGCTGATTTCGTGCAATTTAGGCTCCATTAGAACATTAGGTTGACGAAAAATTTGGGAGCGCGCCCACCTGATGAGCCCCACGATGTGCAAAACCAGTCGTTGGCGGTTGAAGAATTTTCAGCAACCTTATGACTAGTGTATCGCGCTCACTAAAATGTATTTTATTCAGTGAGCAGCATACCAAGGTTTCTCCTGGTTATCACTTGATGTACTGTGTTGGTTACCAGCTTCGGGATCATACAGGACCACTTGTTTTCGTCCCTTATCATGTAGGCCGTGGGGAGAACAGAAACAGAGTTAATGCTGGAGCCTCACGTTTGATGCCAGACTGAGCGGATGCTTTACTCTGAATAGCCTGACCTATGCCAATGCCGTCTGCAACCATACATTAGCATTGGACAATATGTCACTACAGAGGTCATAAGACGGACGAGATTCTAAGTAATAGCAGTAGATAAAAGGCACATTTTTGCAGTCGCGCTACCTATGTTCTGCTATGTTATTTCCACACAAAATAATCGCTGTTGAGTGGCTAAAGTTTCGGGCACCAGCGTGGTCACTTTGCATCCTTTTATTCGACAGGCGGTTAAGGTTCCGCGCGAAGAAAATTTCCTTTTGTCGTTCAGTTGCACACCGATTCTAACTGCCTCGAAGTAGGAACAGCGAGATTTTTACCTGAATACAGTTTGGTCTGCGTGTATGCAAGCTTTTCTCCCCTTTACATCCATCCATCTTGGCATTCATTCGGTGCAGTTTTTTTACACGCCATCCCTTCTAAATATTTTGAGATATTAGTGGAACATATAACCCACGCGATTGAAATAACTGTGTATTTCACTTCGCAACATAAATATTTAACTAAGCATTTTTCATATCAAACAGCCTTTTACTCTTTATCTAGAAGAGCTTTTGAGAATACTACGAACTCATAATAAGCAGGAATTTATGAAATTCCCAAAGTCAGCTGTAGACTGGCGCGGTGTTCAACACATTTCTGTGCTTGAAGTTCGGTTCTTGCTGCAATCAACCTTACTTGAAAGTTCTTCGCTGACTTACTCTGAACGAAATCGGATGATCTGGTGATTTCATCCCTTCGTTTTAACCAGGTCTTACAATCCAGCTTTGCTGTGATAATTTATGAGACCCTGTTATAAGATTAGGTTTAGTCTAATGGTTACTTTGTACAACAATCAGCTCAGATGTGTGATTTTTTTGTACCAGTAAATGCTCTAGACGACGACTGAGAACTATTCCGCAAATTCCTATTGCAATTCCAGGTGCATCTAGTGATGGATTTTATTTTACCGTAAATCCAAATGATCAAGATGTCGAAGAAGGACAACCTCTCAGACTGCGATGTGCAGTTACCCCATCCAAAGATATTTATTACTCGTGGTTACACAATGGGGATCGTGTTGACACGGAGAAGGAAAACGGACGGCGTACACTGGAGGTAGACAGTAATTTGCAAATACTTCACGCGGATCGCGATCTCGACCCTGGAACATATCAGTGTCAAGCGCTGAATCGATCTTCGACATTTACCACAGCTAGCCAGGAGGCCAAGGTCAACATTTATTGTGAGTTCTCACTTCGCATTTATCTCTCCTATTCCGGATAAACGATGTGTGCTTGATGTAGGAGAACATCACTCATCAAAATTATCTGCGTATACTCTAGTTATCAGTTGCTTTGGTCTCGGCATCATCTAACGTAGAGTACAGTCCCAAGCGAGATTGTACCTTATGACGCTTTCAGAGGTTCAACTCAGACAAAGATAGCCTGAATCAATTTACTCACTAATCTGGATTATAAACTGTGTGGCTGAAACTGAGCTATTGTAAACTACAACAATTAGATCACAAAATTGAGGAAAAGCACACAGTGTCCTCCTTTTCCAGGATGAATCAATTTCTCCACAGTTATCACATGAAGCAACCTTAAGCTCATAGGTCGATAACTAAGCTTGAGGACTGGGGTTATCTATGGAAATTAGCCGACTGTTCAGAAGTAGTCAGATGCCTGGCGAAATTCGAAACGTGAGTCAAACTAAGTGAAGGTCAGCAGATGGACTCTATGGATGGAATTCGGTTGAAAACCGTTTAACAACTCCACCGTGCTAAACAGTTCGATCAATGAGAGCATGTATTTTGACCAGAGCCCGAGTCCCAGAAAAAATTTAACGCCTTGCGCGTACCATCCGTATTGCTGAGAAGTGAAAATGTCCGTTTCTAGTCCTTATGTTCCACTATCCCACATCAGAACCGAACTTTGGGCTCTTATTTACGAAGAAGCCTCCACTCAAAACTACTTAGTTCGAACATTTTGGTTCGATCAACCTAGGCGACATGAAATGGTAAAAATGCTGAACATTATTATACCACTTTTGAATTTTTTTTATTGTGTATCTAGATTGATTACTGAGCTCGGGTGCAGTAACCCCATCAAAATCGAGACAACAATCTGGAGAGTATTTGTTGAAGAGAGAAAGAGATAAGGAACGCATTGTGCAAGTTTTTGAATTGTGTGCCAACCACCATCTAAAGTACAATCAAACCTGGCCATCCCGAAAGCACCAAAGTCGGTACTTTGCCGCTAGACTACATGTGGATCATCTGAAATAACCTCTATAGGAATATGAACTGACGGTGGGGTTCAAAAGAGTGCCAATCAAAAGTGCTAGTCCACAGATTAGCGATCAGTCGCACAAAGGCAACTGAACGATCATGTCAGAACGTTGCACAAGTGAACTATACAGAAAGTTACCTCCAATAGTCTTGAAGGTCATAGGTAATGCCGGCCCATGCACGGATCTTTCGACAGAGCAACTCACACCTGCTACGTTTGTCTGTCAGACCAGATCTCCCACTCGAATAGCATTATGCGGCCAGGAGCACTGACAGGCTGTTGCGAAGTTTAGCTGGGCGAGAAAAACCCAATCGGCACTGAAAAACTGTTTTAAAAAATGCTCCCCTGGAGCATAATTCATTTACTTATGAATTGTGCTACAACTCACTAATGCGAAAATCTAGAATAGGTTTGTTGATTTGTATTTCGACCTGAAGGCAACTCCTAGCGGATTGGTATTCAAGATCTTGATCAAGGGTTCAATGTTCTCATGATTTTTGTCAAAAATTAGAAACCACCATAAAAAACAAAATAACGAGGCTTATATTATTTGCCGCGCACCTGAAGATAGTCCACAAGTGCTTCTTCCGTACAAAGAAGTCGACCAAGTAATAAAAGTCCGAAAAGCCCTTACATGCATTTCATTGGAGTATTACTGCAGAAGTATGCAGTCATGAAAAAAGAGGCAGATTAGACTCTACAACAGTCTGGGATTTTGTGTTGCGTTGCCTGTGCTCCGGTGTCGTTCGAAAATCGTCTGTCGTTCCGGCATCATCGGCTTGCAGATTGTTCAGTTCATTTCATCACTGCGCTAACGTCAAGTTGCAACGTTGAATCCACAGACCATGAACCTGAAAAGCCTAGCAATAACAGCAAAAAAGACAATTAGACTATGGATAAGCTAGCTTCAACACAACCACAGTGGGAGCAGTGTCGAATCGATCACCCGATGGGCGCTTAAGCTGGCGGTAGCAACCACATGGTCAAATGCCGATCGCGCTAGTAATAGCCTCCATGGTCATTTTACCACGGCGTACCAGTTTCTGTATCTGGTTCAGCTCCGAACCCGAAAAACCCTTTGATATTAAGGTGGGGATCGCAGAGTTTACACTGCATTATTTTTGCGCGAAATCTTACAGCATTTTGACATGATGTACTCAGTGGCTTCTGATAAAATTCAGAGCCAATAGCACCCCCGTTTTTTGGATAAGTGAGACAGTTAGGAGAGATGGACACTCATATTCGAACAAACAGATGTGTCTAAAGTTTAAAATGATGACCGGGATGTACGTGAAGAATCGTAATTTATGTACACTCGTAGTTGTAGCAATTCATTGTCAAAATGGTTAGGTAAACTATTGGTGCCGGTATTGTACACATTTATTACCAAACGTCATGTGCACTTTCCCAAAATCGTATATGCGGGTTTGTTGGGCCTAGAACTGGACCAAATCATTGAACCAGCCTAATTTCCCCAACTGTGCTACCTAATCAAAGTCTCGTTTTCAGCCCCTACATTTGACGTAAATTAACTCCACTGGCTTCATCTGTGCATTCGCGCAACTTACTTTCTTCTGTCATGCACAGTAAGTTTGGCGGTAAAACAAGCAAGATGTGATAAAATCGAACAGAACAATGGTAAAAGCATCGAACCAAGTGCAAGTTGTGCTGGGATGATCGGTGAGACACATGCATTTCCAGACGGTCAGTTTGAGGCAGACATCTCCGAACAGTCGTCACATCTGAAACTACTCCTTATCATCACAGATTGTCACAGGACAGATAAGTAAACCGTCGTACTGACCAGTCGACACACGTACACGTTTAATTTCTTTCAATCTGCGTGACAAGGTATGCAGTGACCAGTCTGTAGGGTAAATAGATGTTGACGGGGCCAGCCTAGCATCTCCACACTGATTTGGTCACTGCCCTAGTTTGCCTTTAGCAAAGTTAAACTGCTTCTGGCACAAACCGTGTGACCTGAGGTAAGGTTTAATTCATTATTCGAAAACCTGAATCGGCGTGAATTCATGAAATCTAGGATACAAAAATTTAGGTGGAACATAGCTGTCTTCGCTGAGAGTTCACAAGATTTCGTTTTGATCCACTTCAAGACTATTTTGTGGTTGCGCTTTGCAGCGCTTTCGCAACAAAAAGGTGCTGAATAATTATCTTAATTATTCTTCTTTACATGTTTCTCTTCTGGAAGTACCCATGACTCGAAAACCTTCACACATCCTTCGTACATTTCCGTTACTTTAGGGATGGAACCGGATGTTCAAGTTCGACTAGTCAGGCCCACTCGGTATGAAGATATACAGCTGGGACAGGAATTGGAGTTTGCGTGTCATGCAAGCGCAAATCCTCCACTCAGTCCATTCAATATCAAATGGTATCACAACGGCAACGCGTGAGTTTCTCAACTTCCCGATGATGAGTGTAGATGAATTTGGTCACAGACCCCTATTTCTTCCCCCTCCGATTTTGTGAGACTGTGAACCTGTCGTTTTTTGTGTCTACCCAGCAATCCGTTTACAGGCTACATAGGCATAGCGCTCCCGTGAGATTTATCATGTCCCCCTAACGTTTCGATTACCTGAACGAGTTGAGTGACCGTTGGTTTATCGGAATAATTGATCTGATTGTAAACTGCGGGAAAGCTTAACTCCCATAGAACGTGCAAAATGTGGTCAAATTTGTCACTGCTTATGTAAGTTTATCTTTGGAACCCAAATAGGCACAATCGAAATTTCGTTGCCTAGGTTTTTCCCACTTACACTTTTGTCGAAATCTCCGTAAGGGTTTAGGGTGTTTTGACAGTAAATAATCAGCTTACCTGTTTGACCATAATCTTGTTCTTAGATGCTTTACAGCTACAACTTATTTCATCTGTGCCAGTGTTTTTCAAGTCACTAACTACTCGACATTTCTGAAAGAAGCCAAACTAACATAATTTCCGTCGATCTTCAGACGTTTACCGAACACGGAAGTTCGCCAGAACGGTAACCTGCATATTGCCGTCTTGGGTGTGGAACACATCGGAAGCTACCACTGCCGGGCAGTACACGCGGCCGGGAAGTTGGATAGTCGACCGCCGTTCGTTATACAATTCAACGGTAAGTCCTGAGGAATGCAACAAAAGAAGCGTATTCAGAATGCAATGGTTTGTCGACCGGAATTCATGTAACATGGCCGTAACTTAGTAATGATTTTGGTAGAGAATGAAACGACTTTGAACTTCATTTTGACCTCTGATTATGATCTAGCGATATAGACTTGGAGCCACTGAACCCTAAACAATAAAGTTCAACTAAATTTCTTGGTATTCTTTGATACCTTGTTTTCTGTATCCATAAAGTGGAGTTTCAAAATTAAGTACGTTGATTCCGTTTCCTTTAAAAGTTAACATAGACAAGCTCTGCTGTTCTCTAAATAGTGGGTAATTTCTTCCGGATACACTGAAAAAAGTAAGAGTCGACAATGAATAATTTTTGAACGAAGGATAACTGTTTTTATGTTTGCTGTTCATTTGCTTACCACTGATTTCTTCAACCAATCAATGAACCACGATAATGTTTGACTCAAATTTCCTGTGAATTTTGGTGTCCGCTATTTATTTCCCGCGTTTCCTGTTTTCTGTAGATGCCAGTCCACCACAGCTGGTCACAACCCTAGTACACGAAGACTTTAGTAAATTTGTCATGCGGGGACGATCGGTGGAGCTGATATGCCCAAAGATTGGTGCTCACAGACCGGTCGATGGAATCCCTCCCATAACGGTTTGGGGCTATATGCCAAGGTTAGGAGAACAGCAACAGTCAATGTGAGTTTCCGGCTTCATCTGGCACAGCTCCTTTCCAGATATTTGAGGCAACTTTCGACTCAGTATACATTCTGGCATTTCATTATTTCCGAAACATTCGCACTTGCTACAATGCTAGGTTGTTTTATCGTAGAGGAGGATACTCTTTGGTGACATCTTTGAAAGTCAATAATCTCTTTGACAAACACGAAATATATTAGATACCGTGCACAAGCAAGAGTCTTTCAGAAAATTGCTCGCTATGCCACTGTATTCATTTGAGTACCCCGTTGCCACCAATTAGATTGATTTCTGATGCAAATTACTGGAGAAAAGGTGATTTCGTTCAAAATCATTTTCTGTGAAAATGTGAAAGATCATTTTAGCCTACATGGCATGTCCGATCCTCTCAACTCATGACATTAAAATTCTGTGTGCATGTTGCTGAGTAATAGGCCCAATATTGTGTAACTTAGAAAGCGGAATTCGATTTGATTTGCAATGTTGGGATATTTTGTTTGAGTAACACAGTGGATAGTCGAAACCTCAAGTAGGGGACAGAACGTCGAAAGCAATGGAAGAAACTCTTCCGCGTAGTTCCAACATCACTGAACACGAAAACTTATGTCGTATTAATGATTCGTTTTCAGAAAAATGTAAAGTAAGCTGTCCACACAACAGCGGTGTAAGACCGTTTTTCTCCATTAGCCCATTTGTCCGAAGAAAATGTTTCCCGAATCGATTAATCAGGAAGTAGGAATTTCACATCATTACCACACAGGGTTTTGAATTGTTGCTTCATTTGGGAGTAAACAATCTAGCTTTTTTACTGAACCTTAATACTTTGAGGTGGAACCTGGTTATGTAGGACTAATCGGACGTTGTGTTTATTTGGTATTTCAAAATGCGTCTATTATTAGGGCCATTCGCTGCCGTTCTGTTGTTTCCCTCTGAAATTTAGAGGTTTATGCACACTGGTTGGGGTATTTCTATGCAAAATGGGTTGCTTTTCTTCATAATACATAAAAGTTTTGTAGTTTTTAAAGGTAGTTTCACATCGTGTGTACCATTTCCCACTAGAGGGATACCTCGTGAGTTGATTTTCCTCGAACTGAGTTACGGTTGCTGACATTGGTTCCTGTTGAGTGACACCCAGACGTTTGCATTTAGCCCACTGCGTTCTCGGGTTTAGATTGGCTAACAATTAGACCGCCACGAATAAATCGACGACGTGGCAGCTGCAATTCTTATGAAATAGCCACCGATTCTTTGGTGGGCAACGCATGTTCCGTCAACACCATAGAAACAAAAAGCGTACGGTTACGTTGAGTCCATGGTTTATTTGTTCAGGGTGACAGTTTTATATTTTGTCAGAGCAATCGATTAATTCTGTGCCATCCAAAATTATAAAAATAAGAAGGAAAACTGACTATTTATGATTAATGCTGTTGACTATGCACTTCCCATCATCATGCTTTCTGTGTTAAGAAACAAATGTGTAGCTTTGCAAGGAATGGTGATGGAACTAAGAGAATAGAACTGAAGAAATCCAGAAAAATTCTGCAACTTTGGGCTATGGAATTATTGATTACTAATTGGTTTTGTATTGATAAAACATTCCGATATCCCGAGCATCCCGTTGACTGACACATTAGGCGGCTTTTGTGCAACACAGCCAGTTAGGAAATGGCATAAACGAGGGATTCATTCTTAATCCTTATGAGCCACCCCTAATATTATGTTGAATTATAAAGGAGTATATCACTTACATATTCTAAATACATACATATTGGTTAGTCGTTTGCCAAAGGATTTCCTTCAGTCTTATGATTAGTTCTGTCCAGTATACCCTTCTTGACACGGGTCCAGGTTTCAGCACTGCCCCTGCCGCATACAGTGAGTGATTTCGTCCCTGTGACGGCCATCAATTTAGATGTTAGCCGACAGAAGTAGGAATAATCAAATGAAAGTAAGTTATATGGTAGAAGTGTTTCCGGTGTTCGAAACATGGAATCCAATATTATTGCTTGGTTTTATCCGTGTGGTTGAATTCTCCATGATAGCTTTCCGAGTTTTCTCAGCACCTTAAAGCGAGTACGATATTACCATCGAGAGAATTCTCGGACAGATATTCTGTTTTGTTTGCAAACAGGATCTTCGGCTCAACAAGTACATCAATAATCGCCGAAAAGTAATAATTTGAATTAGTTTGTGCTTGCCAAAGTGAACACAAGCGTCCACCGCGTCAGGTTATAAGACATCACTAGCTGTTTGACATGGCGATTATGCCGACATGCCTGAAACGGATAAGCGCAACGCCTCATCTCCCTGCTATTTACATGTTTCCAATGCAGTAAGTTATTTACGACCGAGCGACTACCAATTTAGGTGTGGTGGCAAAACATAGTTTGTTGTTCAAAATTCTTCTTATATAAACCGTCCGAATCACACGCATCCACTAATGCAGAGCTGTAGGCAATGTCAAACTATTTGGAAAAGTTCACTAATTTACTTAGTTACTTGTCTATTCATATACGCTTAGGTGCCCGTGTGTTCGTGACGGACCTTCTACCAGTCACGCCAGTTTGACGATCGATCGATCGATGTGATATTGATTTCCACTGATACACTATGCGACTGACTCCAGGGTCCCGACAGAGAACAGCTGACGGTACAATGATTTACGAACTGACCCAGAGCTATTTGACGCCAACTGGCTTGTCAGCGTGCCGTTTTCCGCTAACGATAATGTGATGCTTTGTAATTCAGTTCACGACAAGTGTCGGGGTATTAGGAACGAACGGTTTTCCAATGTTCTGTGTGATAAGTTAGGCGATCATCAATACTTCACTTTTTATGTAGTGACTAACGATGAGTGAATAAGGGATGAGCAAATTGATCGTTTGTTGCCTCGATATTCCCTCATATTTTCTCTTACATCTCTCAGTACCTCTATACGTGACACGAAACTGGTGGATATGGATTCCAAACTGGTCATCACGAACTTTGATATACATCACGTAAACTACTATACATGTGAGATCAGCTCGTACAATTCACCGGATAAATACGTGTTCCTCTTTCAAGTGGAAATGGCAAGTAAGTAGCACGAGTAGAAATGCTGAAATTTTCTTCTTCAGCATAAGCTATGGCTTTCCTTCCAATCCATTCCAATCGTATTTGAATATGGGTTGGTGTACACCTGTGGCTAAACTCTGGTTAGCGGTGTGTGTTGTCTGATGTTGAATTCACCGCTCTGTTATATTGCTCTATGCCTTTTTGGGTAAGCCTGTTTTATTGCAGCTCGTGCAAACGTTTGCTTGGTTCTGACCCAGATATCTGGTCACTAGCAGGGCAATTGGCGCCAGGCTATAGTTACAATGTTAGGACGTTTGTGTGTGTGTGCTTGGCATTTAGTAATGTATCTCATTTTTGATAGCGATTTACAGATCAGAATGGTGGCCGAAGTCGACACTCCATAAAGTTTCGGTTCACTCCGAATTAGTGTCTTCGCCGTTTTGTAGAACATATTTCTCCCTTCACAACGGTATTCCACCTTTGCCATGGCCTCCTGAGACCGGCTGGTAGCCGTTCGTCTACTTTTTGTTTAATTTCGATGAAGAGTGAAGTGCTTAGTTATCCAAATTTGTGTGTCGAGAAGTGGAGATAATCACGGAGATAATCACTTCATAATCCGTATTGTTGAGGAGAATGTTTGTAGATATACTGTGCTTCCTAGCAACGCACTGGCGACCTCACTCCGATTGGCAATGAAACGTTTTCAGTCAAACCGCCTGGTCCAGCCAAGTTAACAAGTCGGCAACCAACCACTCTCTATGTAGGCAGGTATACACATCCCTTTTCGAAGACCAGAACAACGTCAGAACTCTTTATCTTTGTGAAAACCCTTTTACACTCAGTTTCAGTCCGGTGTGATATAGGTGCATCTTGTCTTTGTGTACAATGTCTCAAATGTTATCTAATTAAACAGACAAAACCTTGTAGTTCTCATGAAACATGCATTCGATTTCCTGTTTTCCGAAGTGGGTCGAATTCAACATCTCCAATTTTAAGTAATCAGCTGTCGATTGTTGAGATCTGTCTTCATATTTTTCAACGTTTGAGGCGTCCACCAGTGTATTGATTGGGTTGAAATAGCACAGTAACGAGATCACGTCATCATCATCATCATCATTCAAAAGTAAGTTTGGTGGAATTGACTTGCCGATGTTGTCCACAAAATTGTCGACAACAAAAAAGCAGGACTTTGAGCATTTTCTTATTTGACCTCCTTCATCCACTCAGCACTGTACACGCCTACACGCGCGGACTTTTCCCCTCGACTAAAGAAGTCCCAACCTTATGTTGTCAAGATTAACGATGATGCCGAACTTCGTTACTATTCTGATCAGTCCCCTGCCAATTCGTTTTTCGCTGATCAAATGTCGAACCCCGCCCCAAGAATCGAGTGAGTTCTACATCTCACATTCTTATCTACATTTTAAATTGTTCACACTGAGGGACGTTTTGTGAGATTCCTTCACGTAATCCTTGACCGCTATTGGACGAATTTAACATGGGCTAAATGGAGAGCTCTAGACCAAATGCCTTTCCTTCACTTTTGAACTGATTTAGGTTTGTACAACTCTTCATTTTTTTGTTTTCATGGGTAAATTTTTGATTAAGTGATTTTTCTAGTTTGCCTGCTGCATTGTTGGGAACAGCAGATAAAGTGAACATTCTCAGGATTTCCTCGTGACTTCGACGACCGGTTTTATCCCTCTATGCCCAACAGTAAAACTATCCTAATTCAGAATGCGTTCTCTGCACATGAACTGGTACAGCTGGCCAAAATTCTCACAGTAGTGATGCAAACATTGGCATGTGTTCAATGGGAGTTTAATGTTCTGATTTTCGAATAGAGACTTTTGACTTAAACCCACTGTTAAATCTAGTCACACAAGATGCGTTCGTTTCGGAACCAGAGATCGGAGCACGAATTTCATTTGGCATCTCATACATGGAAGCGGACGACCACCTGCATTCTGCTCTTCCGACAAAGTAGACTCCGTATCTCAATTTCTAACCGACAACCGGTCGGTCTTTTCTGACACTACAGCAATTAAAAACATTTTCGTTTTTCTAACGCTGTCTCTCCGTTTGATTTGTTTGTGTGTGACGGTACGGAATTCCAGAGCCCTTGTGTCTGGCTCGCGTGTATGAGGAACCTGATTTCCATTAGTACACCAAAAGTAGAACTGAGGCAAACAGAGTGAGATGCGTAATTAGTTGGAGTGCTTGAAAATAAAAACAGTGTGCAACGAGATTAGTTAGACTCCATATGGAACAAGAATGGTATGGCATGTTGTTAGCCCGACCATTCACCAACATTTGACTGATCAAATTTACTTGCGGTTTATTGCCTGGTTTTACGACTTGTTTCAGTGTTACTCAGACACGGTCGCATGCATTCAGAGCGCATGCCTCAACGGATGTACGCCGAGTTGACCCATAACATCCAATGTAGACAGCAGTCTGGTAAACAGATCAGTGGGTAGCCGAAACCCCTAACGCAATAAAAATGCGTCCATAGATATTTTGCACAGTTTTTTTAATGTTTATCGCCCGAGAATAGCAACGCTGCACAAACAAAGAGGATTAACTGCCTACATAAGAATAAGCTGATCTGCCAAGAAAAACGGAATACCTCGGAAAAGTCGAGGATATGTTTCCACCAAGCCATGGATCATACTCGGTAGGGAGAGGTTTGTTTCCGAAATAAAGCGATGCCTTACATGTGTATACTAGAATTTCTCTTGGATATTCCGAACGGATATGGGAGGACACAACGACTGACCCGCGTTTATACTTGCCACGTTATTCCTCAGTGGGTATCACAGATTTAGTTTGGATCTTCGTCCTATCGTTCGGGTAGGACTCATCAAGTAACTAGGGCTAGCTCACACAAACTTTGGGCTGAATATTCTTAACATTTTTCCAACCATAGGTGGCACAAGCAAGGTGAACACCAACCTATTGTTCCATGGTCACCACCCGCGCTCACACATGGCCCGGTGACTCACACTCCACAGAGGCCAAGACGGTATGCCCTCCGAGGACGACATTTGATTGTGCACCAAGTTGCTGAAGCGGATTCTGGTACATACGAAATGACATTGTCCAACATTGTTGGGCGTGTCTCAATCGCGTTTGATCTTCTAGTAACATGTAAGTTATTGCCTACCCGGTCCCTACTTTTCGACGGAGCTTACTTGTTACGGAAGCGTTTTTTGCAAAAGTGCTTATCTCAGAAAAGTCGAGTGAGGTAATTCCAACTCACTTTTCAAGGGTGATTATCTTTTTTCATTTTCCCTTTTGCCCATGACTATCTCTTCTATACTCGTGTGTGACTTATATCCAAGTAGGATGCATGTGATTGAGTTAAGCGTAGCGCGACAGATAGAAAAAAAACGAGAAAAGCACGCATTTCAACTTCGTTAAATTGAAAAATTCGCTAATCAATAACTAATGAGACTGTGTAGTTTGACTAACTAGGAGTGTCACGCAATGGCGTTTATTTTCAAACAATATCCTCAATCATCGTTCGACAACTTTTACGAAGCAGTTAAACAGAATCAGCATTGCTGGCCCAAAAATCGCCCATCCGTCATTCTACACAATCTGGCTGCTCGTCAAGATAACACGTCATAAAAAGCCGCAAAAGTCGCTTACCGTTTCCAGACTGCCAGGGCTTCGGCTGTTTAGGGTACAGAGCCACTGAATCTATATTTTCTTGCGTCATAAATGCAAACAGAAACTTGCAATTTGTCCGGAATACGGAAGTTTAGTGAAAACTTTTTTGCGGAAATTCAGCGTTAGAGTCGGCACCATTTAACTTGGGCTTCGAAGAGGTACCTCAGCACTGAACTCTAGTAGGATTACGGGCCTACTATCACTTAGATTATGAATAGTCTATTTAGTTGAATGATGCTTTTTCGAGCTACCGGATCACTGAGGTCTGTTACGGTGAAATTAGCCGCTCCGTGTACGAAATGCCAAAGGTCTACAGAGCTAACCACTCATCACCACCCTGGTGTATGTTCCGGTCAACCAGAGTTTTAGAACAGATGGCTTGCTTGCCGCATATTGATCAGATGACAAATATTTGAAATGAACTAACCCGACGAGCACCGAACTGGGGTTTGGGGACAGCACTTGTCTTATTTATTATGATCCTACTTTGGTTGTTACTCCAGTTTTATTACTTGTTTGCTAGTTTCTTTATTAAACATGCGGTTTGGTTACCTGTGATCTTAATCTCACCACAATACTGAAGTTTCTCGGTTGCTTAACTACTGTTTAACAGTTATACTGTTTTATTTAAATTATAACTCGTCCCTGTGGAAGGCTGACCTTTTTAAGACAGACGTCATCAACACCTGAGAAGCTCAGCTGCCTGAGTTCACTCGTGCATATTTGACCGAGCCCTTCATGACCCATCAGCTCGTCCTAAGAACATCCATCCACAGTTTTGATCCATCAATTCGTATCATCAGATTGAGTAAATTACTACTTATACAAGCTGGCCATTCATCTAAAAATGGATTATCAAAAGAAATCGATAGCTGGCTCGACAGATTCACACTAATTCAACCACACCAATTTCACAAGGTCGTTTGTGAGCGTTGATCCGATGATAACAACCATAAATTGTCAGCCAAATGATTGATCGATTGCTTTACCTTCGCCTGATTAATTTGTATGAAGATCAACGGGCTTATTTAGATTGGCTACCAGGTCCCTTCAAAAGTTACTCATGGCACGAATGTTTCGAAAAGAAGTTTTAAACACCCGTTAATAGGATGCGCCGGTAGCAGGCTCGATAAATCTGTAGTGTTACACGGGAGATACAGGATCAGTGTACACATGTTAAAGTTGGTTTTTGAGTGAAGTAACCAAACTATTAAGGCAGCTTAATGGGGCCTAGTAAAAGAGGCTGCACTTCTAGTTAATGGAAATTTCAAAAACAGATCAGTTCATTAAAGTCTTTAGTACACTTCGTCCCTTCCAGCCTGTGAAGTAGGCGCAAGTGAACAACCAAAGTGCTCTAGTAATGCAACAATAATCATTGAAGCGCAGCAGGATCAGTAGCTTTGTGTGTATTTCCTAATCGAGTTGAAGACGAGATTCATTCGACGCACTGAATAGCGGCAGGTTATCGATTTCTCCATAGTGCCGGGAGTTATTTGTTTGATTCTTTTCAATCTACCAACAGCTGGACAAAACTTTCTTAGCAATAAAAATCGTCGTTTGAATATTGTTCAGCAACTAACTGACTTGTATCAATGCTATGAAACTTAAGGTCTGATAAGCCTCACATTAGGGCAAGACTTGGTGGAAGCCACCTGAAAACTAGTTCATTGGAGTCAGAAGTGGCCAGGCTAGACAAATTCACAAAATTCCCTTCTCAGTGTATCGAGGCGTTTGTGACTCCAATAAAAATGATTCACAGTTGGGTGCATTCTACGACAGGAATTCTGATCAATTTTTCCAAACACAGGAGTCACCTTCGCAAAGTAGATTGGTATCTCAGTCTCAACAATAGAAATGGATGTTCTAGTCTAATTTTCAAATTTTTTCATTTTATTGAAGTTCCTCCGGAATTTTATCAACCGTTGACACACGAGGAACACTCATTCGACGAGGATGAAACGCTTACTCTGAACTGCGGAATTAAGCGACGTGCTCTTCCTGGTAGCGTAGTCTACTGGGAGAAGGATCAACGCGTTCTAAGAAAATACGACAGCCATGTGAGTCACATTTCATTTGATGCTCATTCTGGAGCATTCCTAATCAAAAGTGTATATTTTGTTCATGTCCTATAAGCGAAGGCCAAGTGACATAAACTTTTAAGTGTGGGAAACCCCACGCTGATCTTCCAAAAGCCACTCTATAGCCGTTTTGTTGATTACTTCTCGCGACAGAACTTCCCAACTTGAATTTTGCATTACTTTTTTTGGGTTATGTTTACAACGTGCGCTAGGATATCGTCTGGCTCCTTGTGTATGGGCACAAGCTACCTAATCTTTCGATTGGCACCATAATAGGCTAATCGACTGATATCATAGCCGGAACGATTGTTGGTTATTACTCCAGCTAAACTCAAGCAGCTTTACGTAAACAATTTCAGAATGATTGCTTTGATTTTAGTTCTCGACCCGATTCGATGCCCGGTGTGAATCAGGTTTAATCAGAAGATAACTAGCTAACGGAAATCCTTTTCTGTATTCCGATCAGCCTTCACTATTACTCAACCGTGAGGTTATTGTTCGGAATATCCACTTGATGATCGCTAGCCGGCCATGAATCCTGTCTTCGTTTATTTACACTTGTACTGTAGACATAGTTACAAAGATTTCTGGTGATTTACGTCCTAGAAGTGATGCACACTTTGGTACGCTAACGAACAATCTTTGGTTTGCTGGATAATTAATTTATGATGTACGAAATAAATTCAATGAGGAGACTTTATCGGTTATCGTTGGTCTACTTGAATGTCAGCTTTTAATGGACCGTTTACTTTTTCAAAGATATCTGCAAAATTGTGCACTTTTAATCCGCTAGTGTCAGCTTTAGCTGAATGTTAAATTCCACTAGATTTGTTTGTGAAATGTTTAACGATTCACGAAAAAAGGGACTGTGTGCGTATTTCCATCAATCCACTGTTCTCAATCCTACTCCTCTGACAGGAGAATCGAAGATCGACTGAAGTTGGTTGGCGACTAGTTGGTCTAAGAGTGTGCTTCTTATAGTTTCCACGTTTTATCACCATTCGAGGAGAAACTGAACCGTTTGCAACTCAATTGCCAAGCTCGCCGAACAGATCAACAGTCACCTGATCAAATATCAACTAATGCACCCGAGCTACTAATAGTCCAACACATTACCAACGTTCAATTTTCTTCTGTTTCACCCAAAAAATAAATGAAAGGACTAAAATCCGCGCCCCTGAGATGGCCGCCGCCGTCCAGCCGCTCTGTACGCGCCTTGAGGACATTCCACTCTAACCTAATTAAAGCAGCATTTTCAAGTATACACTGGTGTTCAACGTTTTTAAGTAAGCCTCAGAGTAATTCATGTTCCAGCTGTTGATGTTCATCACACAACAGTTTCACACAGGTGACTATTAACGACATATTAGACAAATTCCTGATATCGCCGTACCGCAGGTGTCGCCAATGAGCTACTAATAAATCCTAAACTGTAGTAGGATTTCTTGTTATATATTCGTCATTCGAATGTGAAACTGGTTTCCGAAAGGTAAAGCCCCCTAATACGTGCACAGTGATAGCATTTTTTCAAAGATAATTCAGTGGGTTATAGCCTGTATTTAAATGACGATCACACCATATGGCGCATGTGTTTGATTGTTTTACTTGGCCGGAAATTCTTCCAGCACTGATTTGAAAGTAAGCGATTTAGGATGCACGGGTGCAGCCAAAATTTCGTTTATTCACAGAATTCGTTCCACCCATTCAATCTACTCTACTCAAAATGAACTCAAAGTTGTTCGGCGAGAGAAGTCATAGTTCCACGTTTAATCTATAGCTATAATTACCTCACTAGAATCCTAGATAACAAATATTTGTCACTGTGATGTACACGATTGAATTGAGCGTAAACAACAGAGTGAAATAAAGAATTTGTTTTTTAGTACATATACACCATTTGAATTCTTGTTTGTCGAGGCATTTCGGAACGCAGGAACAGATCGCGAAGTAAGACAACTTCAGCCACCTGGACAGGCAATTTTGATAGGCCTCTGTTACTCCGAAGGAAATGTCATCCACAAGAACTTCTTACGTACGTTAGGTAACACTTCATGCGCCAAGATTACTTAAAAATTGTGAGGCAGAATCTCGCAGAGATGCTCCAAACTGAAAATTGTAGGTGCGATTGGGCTGGTTTAACAAAGTCTGCAACCAGGTGGTTTTCCCACCAGACAGTTAGGCCAGCTTCGTAACTCCTCACTACTGAATCGCGTTTGAACTCTTGTATTGATACAGATGGATTGCAGGGGGAGAAATTGCCTATGTTCATGAACCCATCTTGACATGTCATATTACTTCATCCCATCGCTGATTGGCATATTGTTTGATTGGCTGCTCTTTATTGCCGAATCCGTTGCAACATAGCATTACCTGATTGTTGAAGTTCTGTAGAGAATGCTAGGGATTTTCTGGCCCAAGGTCACAGTTTGGAGCATTCGCTGTGCGCATCGTCATGTGCATGGGTTTTTATTCTGCATTTATCGATTTCCCTGCATTCGCTGTTCAGTTCACTTAATCGTAGTAGCATGCTTTGAGTGTGATCCACCGACGCTTTTTGGGCTTTTAGACTTTGCCCTGTAAATTCATAAGCTGCATAGTAAAAATTGGTTTCACAAGCTAACCTGCGGCACGCAATAAACGATTTGGCAAACAACTTTTTTGAATCGAACTTTACCATCACACCGCATACGTTGTTCACATTTAGATCGTATCAGCATGGGAACTTGTATCCCGTATAGAACAGGTCTGTGAACAAACCGCACCCATACAAGGCGCAAGTGGAGTGGTGGCACTTCAAACCAAAACACTTGAGGGAGAGCGCGACGTTCGTGCACAGGGGTCCCAAAATTTCTGTTGTTCTGTAAAAAGAGCAATATCTGCTGACTTCTTCCAAATTGAATCAGGCTGCTCTACTCACACCGACATTCACCGGACTGATTATGACCTCGGTTCTGCTTTGCTATGTAACTTCTGATGTCTTTTTGCGGAGGGTCGGTAGTAGGCACGAAACCAACAGTAACCAGGGATACACCATTCCACAGTCACATATTACATATGCGATCAGTTTATTCTGCTACGTCACAGTCAGCAAAAATAATCTGAAACGTGAAATTTTGGGAAGACGATTTGTGAACCTCAAGGAACCAAAAGTGGATATGGTAGCTATGCGCCGGATTTAGCCATCTATATTCACGAATTATCAACATTTCCTATTCCTATATGGTTATATGTGGTGGATCAAATCAGGGGGACTACTGTTCATTCGCTGAATAATTTACATAAATCATTGACGTCGCCACAAAAATCCGACGTAACTTTAGCTGCTTAATGAACGTTCAGGCAACGCGTTTGCTCCAATTGACACTCGGGTTTTATATTTTCATCTGAAGCCACTGTTGCCTTAGGCGATCCAGTTAATATATGACTGCTGGGACTCTAACCGTAGCATAACTAATAATCCTACCCTCGAAACTAGTGCTGTCTAGAACGCGAGTTCATGCCAGCGGCGCTATTGGCTTATACGCTTCCTTTATTTTTTCTAAGAATTATGCAATGTACTGAATAAGTTTGTTCCCAATTCGTAAAGGATACCTACACACTTCTGTGCACAGCGGACCTCTTATCGGAACACTTTGGATTGCCTGCATCTTCTGGGTCCTAGTGAGGACAATCAACGTTTAGCAGTGATCCAGCCCTAGCAGAAATCAAGACGTCACAACCTCTTTGAAATAGCGAACCTGCTGACAAGAAACTCATCAGCCCCAGTAAATAAGTTATGACTTTGAGGCAAACAAAAGGGCTAATTAGCAGGGTGCCTGTGAAATACTCAATGGACTCGAAATACCGGATGAGGAGGTGTAAAATGGGGAAGTGAAATGAGTTTTGAATCGAGCTTAGAGATTGCTTATTCCGATTCTTTGGAGCACTGAGTGACTTATGACTCCGCGTGAACATGTTCACCTGTTGAAATGTGAAAACTCCGCTTGATCCGACCTGTACCAGTACAGTAGTGGCGGCAAGCTCGCCCCATGTATAAGATCTCTAAACTTCAAACTCATAGCACGGCCAAATATATACCCAGGTGTCAGGACCTAACGCAAGCAAAATTTCTGTCCAATGCTTCCCGCCCCGGCGTGGAATGACCACATTGAGCTTGCCGGAATAATAGAATGGTAATCCCAATAAAAAATATGCTAACTGTGATCGATATCTCCTTTTGAACGTAAAAGTTTCTTTCGAGGAAGTAGCCTCTAAGACTGCCGGACTAAGTGAATCACCTTAACATGGCTTAGTTTCAAAATAATAGGCGAAATAAGGCATAAGTATGCGAGTCAACTCGAGTGCCGTCAGTAAGTTTTGAGTTTAGCAGAGAGTGAAAAGCTTGCGAACCAGCATTATTGTGACACTAATTTAATGGAACGTTATTCACAGGTAAGTTCACGTTCAGGATGATTTTTCCATCGTGATGGTGCTATGTGCGCACCTATTGAATCGTTTGTTTAATGACTAAGTTGCTGACCCTGTCACGCGAGCCAGAAAACGGTTTAGATACTGGTAGGTATTAATTTCAATAGACAGACTTTTATGCCCTGATTTCCAATCTGCTTTTCCTCCGGGGTTGCTCGTTAATTTGCTCTACTGACGGTTTTAGTCATCACACGTGGTACCTCATTCTGACATGCGTTGTTTTTTGAACCAGCGCTCACCTGGAACGGGATTTATTCGTTTGAAGTTGCTGATATCGTATGATGGTTTTCCGTCTTTTTTTGGCTTCCCAAAGATGCATTCACACCCACATTGATATACTTTATTGGATCCCTTCGCGGTTTGAAATGTATGCAATCGTCCACACTAGATAGGTCTTCGGTTTCAACGACTCTGTTATAGAAATTTGAGCTTGTTCGTCATTCTAAGGACTTGACTTGTTTTGCGATCTCAGCGTTTTGAGTTTTTAAAAATTTCATGGTCTCGGAGCACAGTCGAACCTTCCGAACTAAGAATACGGTTTCAGGACACAAATCTGCGATTCGCTGAAAAACTTTCTGGTAGTTATCAACGCTTTGACTGCCCTAAACTTTGATGTCAAACTTATCTTGTATTATGCCACACTTTTATGCTGTCCTTATTCCCAGTTGGTTCTCGAAGAAAACGGGGAACAAATCCGTTTCACCAAACTTAGGCCCGAAGATCAGGGACAATACCAGTGCTTCGTCCAAACAGATGGCTATAATAAACGTGCTGCAGGTCGAGAACAAACGTTGGTCGTCAAAGGTGAGCACAATCCTCGGGAACAATATTATTAAGGCCGCTGCGTTTTTTTTACATTCATTCTCCCTGTACCAAGTTGTTTTTAATTCAGGAGTAAAGACAGTATACGGATGAGATACCCGGTGGCGTATTGAAGTTATCCGAAGAAATGTTAATCATGGGTTCTGATACATACTCTGTCCTAAGATGCAAAGGATCGATAGGGCTAGCTTCTGTGTGGCTTAGTTTAGTAAGTTGCCCATTCTTCTTACCCAAACACAGTAAGTATGCCGTCGTTTTGCCGATTTTGCTGTGATGTTTTGCCAATCGGTATACTGTGACCACCTGACGATGGTCAGCCGTGTGAACTTTATGTAAGCTCTTAAGACAGCACAATATATTGGTCGCTTACAAGCCTGCGAGCACTCTAAGGAGGACACTATCAAGACCAAAAGGGAAATTAGATCCAATGGCGAAGAACAATGTCATATACAGGATTCAATGCAAGGACTGCGACAAACGGTATGTAGGACAAACAGGAAGGAAGCTCTCAGCCAGAATACATGAACACAAGCTCGCCACCAAGAAGCACGATCAGTTCTCCCTCATCTCTGCACACAAAGATCAGGAAGGACACGAGTTCGACTGGAGCGGCGTCTGCATATTGGCTCAAGCAAGAACAAAAAACGAACGCGAATTTATGGAAGCATGGTACTCCACCGAAGAGGCGATCAACAAACACATTGAAATTGATCCCATTTACCAGCCACTAAGAGCGAGAGAACTCCAGAACCACCGAACTTAAAGCTGCAAAATCAACCAGACGAGGAAATCATAAGAGAAGGAGGAAAACATCATTCAAACGGACACATCAATTGGATTGGAGGAAGTGCCCAATCAAAGCACCAAATCAACCGACGGACGAAGGGACGCTGACCGCTGCGGTGGAGGAAATAGGGCGGCACAAGCAACCAATCAAACTCAAGAACGTCAGACCACAACGCAATACAACCCGAGGCCGGAGAGAACGAACTACTAAAAATAGAAGGTGTGAGGATAACCAATCGACACAAAGGAACGCAGACCACAACGCAACAAAGATCAAAAATGGACCAATAGATTCACTAAATTTGTTACACTTTAAGTAGCCAATCACGTCAGAAGAAAACAGATAGCCCCCGAATGCTATATAAGCGCACGCAGGCAAGGAAGAAGTACCCACTCAACTGCGCACTGATGATGTCTCCTCGTATGGTGACGAAACGTTTGCAAGCCAATTGCCAAGCTCGGCGAACAGATCAACAGCCACCTGATCAACAACCAGTATTATCTTCCTTGGCACTTTCCCCCGTCTGGAATGACAAGAGACCGCAGACTCTTTCTTGGCCCATTTGTACAAAAGGCTGTTTTAGCATCTACAAAGCCCCAACCTTAGCTCTACTTTGCTGCAACACCACATCAGTGGCAGGTTAACCCATTTAGTTTATTCAGTGATTCCATTTTTCCATCCATGAGCGTTAATTATTCCTTGCCTCACTGCTACTTATAATGTTACCGTCAGATCACTACCGATTTCGCTCTTGTAGCCCATTCTTGAGTTTCCAGCATCTTTGTTTCCATTTGTGAGTTTCTGTGGCAGACTATTCTGTTCATTCCATTTTGCCCTCAGCTTCAGTCGTTTTGGTCCAGGGACATTATTTACTACTACCACTTCTGAGAAAAAACAGCTATGTCTTATTCGGATACAAGACTCCACATCGTCTAAATCAAATACTGCGTGTGCAAACTAATTTGGTTTTCCGAGAGACTCACCTGGAACCCAGCCGAATCTCTCGTTTGTGATGTTTTCTCTCTCCCTCTCTCGAAAAACCAAATTAGTTTGCAAATGAGTGTATATTCGCTAATTTCGTGCAATTTGGTTTCAAGTAGAACATAAGGTTGGCGGAGACCCGGGGACTGCGCCTGCCTGATGAGCCCCGAAAAGGGCGAAACCGGTCGTGGGCTGTCGACGGATTTTCAGCAACCTTATGAGTAGTATATTACAAAGATGTACATGTATGGAGATATCTCGAATATCGTAGCGACTGAAACATGATGCTTCCTGGTGCAGCACATTCAGTTGCCCGAGAACATCACAAAAGAGAGATTCAGCTGGGCTTCAGGTGAGTCTCTCGAAAAACCAAATTAGTTTGCAAATGAGTGTATGTTCGCCAAATACTGCATACTTTCAAAACTAGGCAGAAGTGTGGCAAAACAATGTAGAACGTAATATATCTGCGGTAGCGTAAAACTTACAGCACTTGTCCAGAAAGATAGGGGTCGCGGGTTCCACTCCTGTCGACGTTTGCGGTATGTGTCTAGGTCCATATTCTAAGTTTTTCAAGTCTATGTACTTTCTACATCGCTAGAGTAATCACTACAGAACGCCGTCGCCGGACCAGCAGGTATACAATAATCCAAGCACCCGACTTAACTAACAGATGTTAGATCAAACGCTGTCCATTCTGATAGGACAAAAGTGATAGTTTGAATATAATTCCCCCTCCATATACAAATACGAGTAAGAGAGCTCTGGGGATGGGACGCTTAGGTCCATATATTAGTAGGTGCTTGCCTGGGATCTTCGAAAAAGCCTGCCTAATACACTAACAAAAAGCACGCGGAATTAGTACCTAAGTCGTTTGACAAGACGAAACATAATTTCTACCTGTGTTTTTTCAAGGAAAATTGCAATTCTTGCGTGAAATTCGGAAACATTTTCTGGAAGTCAACACACAAGGCCGCATCCCTTGCAAAGTTCGAGGTTACGGGACGCTCAAGATTGAGTGGTTCCGGAAAGTGGGAAATCGCCCGTCTGATTTTCTGCCAATTCATCCACCAAATCAAGTGGAGCCAGGTGGCACGTTGGTCATTCAATATGTGCGGAAATCTGACGCTGGAGAATATGTGTGTCTTGCTCACTCGTCCTACAAAAATGCTCAAATCAATATGACGGTTAATGTGGTTGTTGGCGGTAAGTTGAGCGATATTCAATATTGTTGGTCTCTAGAACTTGCACCGGATCTAGTTGATGAAATTGGGTTGTTTCGACACTGTGAATTGATCCTTAATGCTTGGTCTCTTATACGCGGCAACACACAAATATCATGACCAACATAAACTACTAACCATATGTCGCATAAACCAAAATCCAGAATCTTTGTCAGATTGACTTTTCTGAATTCCTGGCGTACTATCTCCACAATTATATTGATGGGACGAAACACGACCTGCTTTCATCAAGTATATCTTGGCGAGTGCTATACCGACTATGTGATGAAATATAAAAGGGGGATTCTTATATTGTTACATTTTTATTCTGGGTCGATTTCACGTCGATGACTCTTTTGTCCCATTTTTCCTGTAAGTGCAGTATTTCCGTAGAAATGTACCACCGTTTGTTTGGTACTAACTAGGTAGTTGGTCGCAAAACGGTGACCGTTGTGACCCGAGTAATTTCAGATTTTATCTGCCACTGTAACTGACTCCTGTTTTAGGGGTGTCGCAGATACGTCTCAGATCTATCGTGAAACTTTTGTCAGTTCCTTTAAGAGAATCACATCTTCCCCCTCTCCTATTGCTGCATGTTGAACGATGCATTCATTTACAGTTTAATCGATAGCTCTTCCGTAATGCGGTGCTCTAAAAAGTCACATATTGTCATAAAATCTCCACTGATTCGAACTCGATTTCGGGTCATATATACTCCTAAGTGCCGAGAAGAGCCAGTTATTATCGTTTGCTTTAGTTGAAAGCAGCCATTGCCTCAATTTCTATAGCCCGATAATTTTGACGGCAGACGACGAGAGTCAGGAACTTGGATGACTTGGATGTAAATAAATAAAATACTAAATAAATTCGTTTATTTGTAGCACCCTTTCGGTACCTAGCTGCCATGCCACACCAAGGGAGCACGAGAGCTGGGATACTGCCAGGTTGCCCAAGCCTAGACAAGAGAAATCGAGTGGCAGAGGTCGGGTTTGAACCACCGACCTTCCGGTCAGTAAATTCGCGCTCTAACCACTTGAGCCATCTCGACCCCTTGGATGTTAATATTTGGAGCTAGATATCTTAGGGTACTTCTCCGCAACAATGCGCGCACTACTTCAGGAAAAAGTTATCGGGATTTTCAGAAATAAGGCACCTTTTCTTTGTTTTTCAGACAGGAAGAAAGTGTCACCCAAAGCATCCAACTTACGGAAGCCTAGTCACCTATGAGAGGAAAACCAAAGCAAATGTGATTAGTTTAATGGACAACAATCCATTCTATCTGTGACGAGGATTTCCACCTGTGGTTGATGACTTATATTAACAATGATTCCAGCAGGCAGTAAGAACGGTAAAACACGATCGACACCAATCTGCATATCGGATGCCATTAGAAAAAAAACATGGTTCGCCTACACAACGTCGTTTCAGGGTTGAAAACCCTTCCAGTGTTTAGAATGGCAGTTTACGCAGGGATAGAACTGACAGAAACTCAAGATGGAAGGGTTAGAAAGCCCACATATAAAATGGAAAAGGTCATGGGTTCGAAACTCCGTGCAGTTTCGTGAGAAGCGCACTGCTGACGATTCTGAATAAGGGTGAAGCAGCTGTGCTATGCTTATCGGCTTTTCAGCATGAATTATCTACCTTGGCAGGACAAGATTTCCTTTGGAAAATCACTAAGTCTTCTCAAACTACTAGCGAAGCAAAAGGAGAAAGAAGAATTCACAGATAAGTAGACGTTTCATCTGAAAAATCGTCACTCAGGGAACCAGTCACTCGTGATCACGTGATGTGTATTCCTTGATTGGAGGATGTGCTACTCTGTGGTCTAACTGAGAGATAATCACACTGCTGATCACGCGCATGGATGATAACTTGCATTACCAGACTCAGATGATAAAATTCCGAGTCTTGAGTCATCTAAAAGTTTACCTCCATTTTATTCCTGCTGTGGTTTGGCCATTGTAACATTTTTATGGATAACAGAAGCTTTTACTCGAATCCTGGATGTGTAATCTTCCAGACCTCATACAGTAGGTCAACCCTACAAACCGTTGGCAAGAGCATTCACCGTAAATCACTCATTCCTTTCCATTCCTTGGAAGTTGAGGCGTATATCCTCTCCACTCATTGTCATTTTTATGACACAGAGCTATCCTCGCGCATTATTGTGCTGAGCGTGACAGAATCCTTTTTTGGAGACACTGCAAGAAGACAACTATTTTTTTCAATCATTCACCCTACAATCTGCTCTTCCCGTCAATCAGTTGACCATTTGTCCACCCAGGTTAATTCCGTCTATGAGTGACCCGTCACCGGTTGAAATCAGTCTTTCATTCATTCTTTGTGAGCAGTTTATCGGAGCATTCGACTGTAAGACCAATCACAAAGGAGTTATCACACTGTACTATTTTACAAAGACCACCATAATGTTCGGATTATTTTCAACTATGTGTTTTTTCAGCTCGTTTAGTTCGTTGTGGATTCCCAATACCTATATATATA